CTCACTCAAGTGATACCTGCAGTTTTCCCCTCAGACTCAATCTGTCGATTGTATTAAATAACCATTAAATTGACGACTTTAGATCTTTAGACTTTAGACTTAAGAATAATGATATTAATAATAGTAATTTCATAAATTCTTGTTTTTTCTCTTTTGAATTTTCCTTTATAGAAAACTTGAATGTGTCATTTTGAATACAGTGAGTATTCACAATACAGAATGGGCATGTAAATGACATGTAAATTAATTTGCAATCCATGCTCCTGAATTTGGGGACAAAAGCACCTCTCAGTCGATTATACCTCGTACTGGATGAATAATTATGCAAGTTACTAAACACTTAAAAAACTGAACTGGAAGACTTTGACCATGTCATTGCTGTTTCATGTTTATTAATGTTTGTTCGTGCGATGCAGGGATTCCCACATTTTTTTGTCAGTCAAACTGCTTTGACATAAAATATTTACTTGAAGTCCTCCTGAGGTTTAAAGTTAATATTTAAATGATTTAACAACACATTCACACTGACATGCAGGTAAACAAAAAGATATAGATTATATTTAAGATTTAAGATTATATTTAAAATAATTTATTCACTTTATGATTTAATTAATGATTAGTATGACTCGACATAATTTTTTGTGGTCATGTACATTATAAACAGGTATTATTAAGACCCTAGTAATTATAAAATAGTCTGGCATGCATCGTTGAACAGGTGTCACCGATAGGAACACTGCATCTGCTTCAATTATGTTTTGTTCCAAATCAGCCTCCCTAAAATAATAATATCACTGACTGCTGGTGGTGCCAAACGCCCTATAGAGCTAAATAATATATTTCAGCTGGGTACATATGTCAGGTAAGCTTAACGGCGCATTTATTCATGACCTGCCAAGCGGTATCCTGGTTACAGACTGAAAAGCAGACTGTCAACAGGCAATGTGAGTCGATAAAGACTTAATTAAAGCCATTTCTGATGCTCTCCTATGAGTCAAGAGCCAGATCACTCTTTCTCTGGCTTTGTCATCAATTATTCATCACACCTAAAAGGCCACAATGGATTTGGCCCACCTGATTCCATTTGAAATAACTTGAAGAAAAAAAGGTGGCTGCCTTTATCCCACTGAGCTTATGTGAGACATTAAACCACATCCCAAGGGTCTGTGTGAGAATTGATATCGTTCATACTCTTACACTTTTGCTGATAGCACGTTTGTTCATCTACTTTGACATCTCTCCCAAGGGGGCAGCATTACCCTTTCCTAATAACCTGTTCTGACATTTCCAGCACACTTCAGCTAAACCTTTTAGACGACACCGCCTGCTATGACATATATTAATTCACCTGCCTTTTAATAGAGATGCATATATTATGTCGGGATAAAATCAAGATGTCTGCTACAATCCAGAACGGCGCTTGAATTGAATTAAGAGAACTTTACGACACACACACACACACACACACACAACACCTCTGAATTATTAATGCTCGCTATCCAGAAAGTGTCTGCTGTCGCACAGCTGGAGGGCTAACAGATGCTGCAAACTGACAGGACATTTTAAGGGAAAGTTTTAAACTAGTTCTTTAATGATTCCAGAACTTGTTCAAAAAAGGGAACGATTTTGACATCGGCATTTATTAAAGCTGCAGTCCGTAACTTTTTTTGGTTAAAAATGATCCGAAATCAATATTTGAGCAAGTACATAACCAGCCAGTGTTCGAAACTATCGCCGTACTTTAGCCCGATTCACAATGGTTAGTTTATAATAATGTTTTCTAATTTGAGTGGTACGGGTAGGTTTTCGCGGGAAATTCGAACACGCCGCTGCGTCATTACGTCACGTCTGTAAACATAAAGAAGTTGTCCCGGCTACTAGGCTATCGCATGTGAGGATCCTGCAGGTGGCCGATCATTTATAGCCTTTTCTCACAGCAGCTGGAATAATTAAATGTATCATTTTGATGGCAGATTGTAATCCAGAAAGGATTATGTTTAAACACATGTGAATGAAATTAAATTATATTACAGTTTTAAAAGTGCTTCTGATTACAGATAGCCTGGGATTACACAAGATTTGTATTTTAAAGACAACCAGTTCAAAGGGAGCAAAATTTGCTTTTTCGGTTAAAATAATTTCTTAATATGAAATTCGAGTGGTATGACAATTAGAGATAGACTGTACAGAAATTTAAATCTACTCGCTTATACACACTATACTCATAGTCACGCAATGCTGATGTTGTTTTAACATTAACAATGAGAGAATGAAGTATAACAATAATAATAATTTGCAGTTTGATGTGATATGAGCTCATTTAGATTAAATCACCATTGGTAGCGCGATTTATTGCAATGCTTTTTTTCCTCAGTTGGTCAGAACAAACGTGGCAGACTTGTTACTTGTTCAGATGACAATATCCAGTGAAAATGCTTATTTGAGTTATATATTCCAAGACGTAGGCTAGAATCTGTGAGTGCAAAGTACAATATCCACACCGGTGCGGTGACTGCCACCACACATACTCCTCAAAACATTAGATTCATCCACGCTGGAGCCGTGCCGCCGCACAACCCACGCAAGGAAAATAATTCCGCACACAGCTGCAATTGCAGGTTTTCAAACAGAGATGGCGACAAAGAGGCAAAGCTTTAAAGCTTTTAGCTGTGCAGTAAAGGACATCTGTGTGTAATGAGGATTGTGTAGAATGTAATGGCCCACTATGGAACAGTGAAGCTCTTTATGGCCAGGGTTATAATAGCTTATCATAACTACAACTAAAACCATAAAAAAATATATTTTTATTATTTGAAATCAAATAAGAGTTAACTGAAACTATACATACATACATATATATAACATATTTCATGTAAGCTAGTTGGTAAGGCAACATTTCTCATTTCCATTTAACTTGATGAACTAAAATAACTACAACTGAAAAAAAATTATAAAAACTATAGATATATAAAAAAACAAGTTAAAATGACAAAAAAAACACAAAATTACAAAAACTTTAAAATTAAAATTAAAACACTAAATATTAAAATTACAACCGACATTTTGTTTTCCACCACTGAAAATGGGTAACATTCAACAATCTGGACATGGAGCCTCACTGAGATCTCCATATCTCTGGGACTGAAGAATGTAGGGCCTTGAAAATGTAGATTCCAAAAGAACAGTTTAAGAATTAGAATTTAAAATCATAGTGCGATCTTTAATACTTCTTGAGTTATAGGAGCACAAATTTTGGAAAGAGAATATTGCAGAATATGGCACTCAGACAGGTATGTTCAATGCAGTTGTTTTGACAGAAGGAAACGAAATACATCTCTAGTTTCAACATTATTTGTTCTTCAGACATTCCTCTTTAAAAGAAAAGTATCATATTTATGCAAAGTGACCCACATTTGGTTTTTGACCATTGAAAATGTGTACAATTGAACGATTTACTCCTGGAGCCATATTGAAATTCCAATTTCTCTACAAAAGAACCATTTAGGACCTTAAAAATGAAGATGCCAAAAGGAACGTTTGTTAAGACCCAATATCTAAAAGGGCAAAATAAAAGTTTCATGCTGCCATCTTAAGTTATTTTTAACCCCCTGTAATTTGGCACTGAATCACAGGTGAAAATTGCCATTTAGACCCCCCTATACAAAATAGTGGATTACTCAGTAAATAAGTATCCATGATATTTAATAATTTGGCTTTCCTCACTATAAATGTTTATCTTTCTTCAGAAAAAATATTAGCAAAATCCAAAAATTTGAGCCCGGGAAGTTTCTGAAATTTGTTTGATTTGACACAGAATGACCCGATTCAAAAATATTATTAAAACTATATTACTACCTACTAAAACAACACTGTTTATTACACTTCATTAAAAAAATAGACCAGACAGCAAAAACTGACCACTGCAATTACCATACCAATTTAGATGTAGGGCACCAAATAACCCAAAACCAGAATAAAAAATGTTTTGAGTACACGATAGATTGTTTCCCATGAATGTATACCTGAGTAAAGAGCCAGGAGAGTTTCATGTGTTTACTGCTGGCGTAGCTGCATTCTAGCAGTCGCGGCCGGCCGTTCACGTCCACCAAGCACTTGTTGTCGTCGTCGTCGATGGTCGGACTCAAGCCTCCGATATGCAACTGCTGAGAGCTTGTGTAGTACACATTCTAAAACAACAGAAGAGAAAAGCATGCTTAATTATATATGTATGTATATATACAGTGGGTACGGAAAGTATTCAGACCCCCTTAAATTTTCACTCTTTGTTATATTGCAGCCATTTGCTAAAATCATTTAAGTAAATTTTTTTTCCTCATTAATGTACACACAGCACCCAATATTGACAGAAAAACACAGAATTGTTGACATTTTTGCAGATTTATTAAAAAGGAAAAACTGAAATATCACATGGTCCTAAGTATTCAGACCCTTTGCTGTGACACTCATATATTTAACTCAGGTGCTGTCCATTTCTTCTGATCATCCTTGAGATGGTTCTACACCTTCATTTGAGTCCAGCTGTGTTTGATTATACTGATTGGACTTGATTAGGAAAGCCACACACCTGTCTATATAAGACCTTACAGCTCACAGTGCATGTCAGAGCAAATGAGAATCATGAGGTCAAAGGAACTGCCTGAAGAGCTCAGAGACAGAATTGTGGCAAGGCACAGATCTGGCCAAGGTTACAAAAAAATTTCTGCTGCGCTTAAGGTTCCTAAGAGCACAGTGGCCTCCATTCCTTAAATGGAAGACGTTTGGGACGTTCAGAACCCTTCCTAGAGCTGGCCGTCTGGCCAAACTGAGCTATCGGGGGGGAAGAGCCTTGGTGAGAGAGGTAAAGAAGAACCCAAAGATCACTGTGGCTGAGCTCCAGAGATGCAGTCGGGAGATGGGAGAAAGTTGTAGAAAGTCAATCATCACTGCAGCCCTCCACCAGTCGGGGCTTTATGGCAGAGTGGCCCGATGGAAGCCTCTCCTCAGTGCAAGACACATGAAAGCCCGCATGGAGTTGTGAGATGGTGAGAAATAAGATTCTCTGGTCTGATGAGCCCAAGATAGAACTTTTCGGCCTTAGTTTTCTAAGTGTCTAAGTGGTATGAGCAGGCACTGCTCATCACCTGTCCAATACAGTCCCAACAGTGAAGCATGGTGGTGGTGCTGTGGGGCTGTGGGGGTGTTTTTCAGCTGCAGGGACAGGACGACTGGTTGCAATCGAGGGAAAGATGAATGTGGCCAAGTACAGGGATATCCTGGACGAAAACCTTCTTCAGAGTGCTCAGGACCTCAGACTGGGCCGAAGGTTTATCTTCCAACAAGACAATGACCCTAAGCACACAGCTAAAATAACGAAGGAGTGGCTTCACAACAACTCTGTGACTGTTCTTGAATGGCCCAGCCAGAGCCCTGACTTAAACCCAATTGAGCATCTCTGGAGAGACCTAAAAATGGCTGTCCACGAACGTTTACCATCCAACCTGACAGAACTGGAGAGGCTCTGCAAGGAGGAATGGCAGAGGATCCCCAAGTCCAGGTGTGAAAAACTTGTTGCATCTTTCCCAAAAAGACTCATGGCTGTATTCGATCAAAAGGGTGCTTCTACTAAATACTGAGCAAAGGGTCTGAATACTTAGGACCATGTGTTATTTCAGTTTTTCTTTTTTAATAAATCTGCAAAAATGTCAACAATTCTGTGTTTTTCTGTCAATATGGGGTGCTGTGTGTACATTAATGAGGAAAAAAAATTAACTTAAATGATTTTAGCAAATGGCTGCAATATAACAAAGAGTGAAAAAATTAAGGGGGTCTGAATACTTTCCGTACCCACTGTATATATATTTATAATATGTGCATAACCTGCCTAAACATTTAGACACAAGAAATGTTTCTTGAGCAGCAAATCAGCAAATTAGAATGATTTCTGAAGGATCATGTGACCCTGAAGACTGAAGTAATGGCTGCTGAAAATCCAGTTTTGAATCACAGGAATAAATTGCATTTTACAATATATTCAAATAGAAAACAGTTATTTTAAATTGTAATAATATTAGTACTGAAGCATAGGCCTTATATATCAAGCCCACAATAACAAGAAAGTTGTAATGTCATGACGTATCTTTTGTCATTCTGATCCATTCATTTGGGCCGACTGAATGTCTGTTTGGACAGCACGTGTTATTTAGCTCTGTATTGCCCAGCCAATAAAATGAATTATTCATGTTTGATAATTGTGTCTTTCCTGTGAAATCTCTAAGACGATGTGGTTCAGAGCCAAATCCTAGTGTTGATACATAGTATTGCATCCTAATGGGCTCAAGAGGGAAGAATAACTTTTTTCTTATCGACTGACTCTCATTTGTTTATTTCATACCCACCATTCAAACTTGGGTTGAATGCCAATCGGCTACTTCTACAAAGCACTTAAAGTGTGTGTACATGGCTGGTGATGGGAAAGTACATACTTCTAAGTAAGTAGAAAGAAAGTCAGTAATGGGACATTTAACAACTGCACCTTGATACATGTTCTGTTTGTTTCTGTGTAAGTGTTAACACTTAGCTATATAAATTACTTTACTTTTAGGTGTATACATTTAAAAGATGCAGTCACAAATTTCTTTTCAATAGTGCAAGGGGTTGTGGGTAATATTAACAATATAAATACACTGATACATACTCCACTGGAAATAATATACCACCTTTAGAGAACTATTTTCACCATACAATGATTTGGTAAGTAATAATCTTAATATTGCTTACAATAAAGTACAAAAAGTATTCAGCCCTGATTTTCGTTCATCGCTTTCACTTATTTCCATTTTCATAACTATAACATTTCTGATGCTTTGTGAAATTAAAAGATCTACTTACAGAAATTATGTAAAATATTTTCTATAATAATAACAACAACAATAATTATATATTTTTTTTTATATATTTTAAAAAGCAAAGTCTCTGTTATTCAACACTTGCTTTGAATCACTAATGCACATTTCGTTGGACCACATTGGGCCACATCCTGAATCAATAGCACTCATACTTAATCCCTCGCCTTACTGAAAAACAAGCACTTTCAGAAAGAATTCATTTCATGCAATATGCCCACTTTTTTTCAGGGTCCGGATGGATTGATATTTCACTTCAAAAGCCTGAGAAATGCTAACATTAGATAACTCATGAAGCTCATCACAAAACTGCATACTTCTCTCAAATACATAGATTAAATTGGTTGTATACCGTCCAGACCGATTTTTGGCTATCCAAAATTTGTTACAATCAGTTCTGCAATATCTGATACAGAGCTAGGCATTCTCCTCTTCTCCTCAGGTCCAAATCAATTCTGATCTCAGGTATCGTTTGGGAGCTACCATGCTTTCCACTGAGACTGATTATGTGTGTCAATACATTTTTTCTCAGAATACAGCGGTACACCTGAGCCTACAGTAAAATCAAATCAAATTGTTTAACTTTGGAATGGCACCAATGCAAAACTACTCTTTTGTGAGGCACCTTGAAATGAAAATCTCTGTGAACACAAAGGCTGAACAGGCAGCGAGTGCATCTCCACGGAAACATAAAACAACTAATCATTCATTCACAATGGAAACAATGCACATCCTGCGGGATCCTTTAATGAGCACTGGATCTGTGACAGGAAGGGATGGAGGGCTAAAATGGGACAGGCAATAATACAAGAGAGAAGAAAAATAAGCACTCAACTTGCTAGGGACTCATTTAGCACTGTTTCTGCTTGAGGAAAAGTCTGCTTTTTTACTTCTTGAGAGATTTATGGCTGTTGTATGGGAACAATGTTCCTTTTGCCCAATGAATGGGAGATACGCACTGAAAGAAAGAATGAGCGTGTCTATGCTCCATTTCCAACATGCTCTGCCACGGTGTTAATACGCTTAGCTGAGGCATTGTCTGAGGGCCCATTAAAGATAAAACACATCCAGCACCACAAGTACAGAGACGGTGATATGCTCTTACTGCTCACATCCTATCAGAATGATTGAAGTCAGTTTAAGTGTGCAAACAGACATGAAATATACTGTAAATGATGCAAACATATTCTGGCTGGTAGAGAACTTAAGTGTATATCTATATTTGCACAGACAAATGTGTGTGTGTGTGTGTGTGTGTATAGTAGCTTTAACAATATATAAAATATATAATATTTAAAATACATAATATCTAAAAAATAATTATTTTTATAATTTATTTCACTTTATATATATATACATGGGCAACATTGGGGGTGGCAAGGGGGCAGTTGCCCCCCCCCCCCCCTCTCATCATCCAAGTAACCCCCAAATGCCCCCACGCCCCGGG